GACATTTCCTCTGACTTATCTCATGTTATAGAAACTGTTAACGATCAAGATCCGAAATTATTATATGATCAAAATTTAAAGTTATTCACAAAGTCACAACCAATCTCTAATGGCTCTAGTTTATTAAAACAATTCTCTACAGAGCAAAATACTAACTTGCAGAAAATAAAAACATCTGAAATAGATATATAGCCTTTGATACAGGAATTACTTCTAGAATATTCAGAAGAAGATCACATAATTAGAATTTAGAAATAGAAATTTCGTTATGTATCACGGGCTACATCCCGAATATTTGTATATTTTTGCATGTATTAATAAAAAAAAATTAAATTTTGCAGGTATATATGATAAGCGAAAAATATATAGTCATGGAACTGCTATTCCAGAGCTATAAACAATTTATTTATACGCCTTAGCAAAATGCTCGCACTAGAGCCAATATATGTTCGAGTCCTAAAACACTAGTCTTGGTAAATGCATCATATAATGCACCAGGTCTATGCTTCAAAGGAGCTAAATTTGAATGATGGAGAAGTTTCATAAGCACGTCATTCCTCTAAGTTTTCATTTCTTCTTGCTCCCAAGTTATTCCTATTAACGTAGTCAAGTTATCAATAGAATAGTTTATTTGGATTAGATTCTGGAGTGAAGATCATTTATTTTTTTCTAGAGTAAATAGACTCATTTCTCACATAACAGCAGACTCCACACTAATAATAAATTTTTTATGAATATCTGCTCTAATTGCTAAGACAAATAAAGGTAGAATTAAGGCTGGATAGTAGAAGTCGGCTAGAGGATCTAATTCGAATTCTCTGACATACATAGTCCCAATATCTTCTAAATAATCTGAAAGTCTATCAACATATTTATAACCTTCATGAATCAACTTCTGGGATAGCTTTGGGGTAATCTATCAGCCAGTTAGTATATTAAGTACCATTTTTATTCGTATCCATAGAAATGAAATAGTATGATATGGTATATATTTTTCGTTTATGATATACTTTTTTTACTCAAGTTCAATTCGGATTTTTCATTTTGAAATTCGATTCTATAATAAGAAAGGTGCAAGAATATAATAAATAGATCGTCTTACCTGCCCACATATTAGAAAGGATGAGAGAACTTGTAGCCGAGTCTGCACCCACTTGGCAGGATGTTCTCTCCACTGGAAATCGGGTGCAAATAATATGCTAAAATCTCCATATAGAATATGTAATAAACCTACATTATTTTATACAGGCTACTGCTCCAAGCATGCCAAAAAAAATTATCGTCACCTTGAAAGAGAGAGACAATGAATAAGTTTGTCATAATGATGATGCCTACTTGTATAATGGTCGGTTACTTTAGTAAACCCCTATTAATAAAATTTTTCTTGGCACTTTCCGAGATGGCCCGTTCTGAAAATTTTTTGGTAATTTTCAGAATATTGAACAATTCTTTTCATTATATAAAATTATTGATAATGTCAGTTAACGAAGCTAACTCATCTGAGCTTGAAGTATTGAGATAGCATATCATTGATCTAGACACTAAAAACAGTAATATTAAGGCTGAGAAAGCTGAACTTGAAGCTAGAGATGCTTAGCTTAAAGCCAGAATTGAGGAGCTAGAAAAAAATAAAGGAGTTACCACCAAACTTGAGTCCGAGAATGCTGAGCTTAAAGCTAGAGTTGCAAAATTGGAGGAGGATTACAGGCAAATGCAAAATAGTAATATTACCAAAGTAACTATTTCTCCTAACAACAGTTCACATAACTTCAATTCTATTACAGAGCAAATATCAGAGAGCAAACAGGGTATAGAAATGGATACTTTATTACCAAAAGAAGCGATACCAAAAGTTTCACCTCCCAGCCCTAAGCCATCAAAGAAAAAGGAGATAAATTCTTTCCTGGACGAAGTACATAAGAAAAAAGTTAGTAATGATATTAGGCAGAGAAATTGGGAAAAGAAATATCAAGCCCAAGAGTCTCTTTCAATACATTCTGAAGAGAAAATGCCTCAAGAGATCAAGTGTCCTACTTCTGATCCTGCGATTCATAATCAAAAGAGAGTTACCGGGGGTAGCAGGTCACATAAGAAAAAAGGAATGGATGAACTTAAGCACAAATTATTTAATCCCCCTTCGAAATCTAATGGTCCATCCTCTATAAACCATAATAATGTGTCCGAAATTTCTGAGACAGCCTGTCCCAGAAAAGTTATCTATGACAGTATTGATGAAGCCTCACAATATCTAGCTCAGTTATATGACAAAGCCATCGATGCCGAAGATAGGCAAATCGAGCTAATCAGGAAGAAATTTTATGTTGGTGCCTCTACTAGAAGAATTTCAGAGATCAGCTTGATGAAATTATCAGAAGCAATAGTGGTAAATTTGGTGAAAAGAAGGCGAGAAGTATGCTTTATGACACTATCACAGAACAGCTTTCTATCCTCTGCAAGAAAAGATCACAAGAATTGGGGCTAAAGTTAGGGTTGTATCACAAGATAGCTTGCGTAAGAAAACTCAGAGAGCTGAAAAAAACTATAAATTATTCAAAAAAGTAGATCTAGATAAAATCAAGTATATTAATTCATATAGCGTAAATTCCATTTCAGAGCTTACTGATACGCAATTTCAAGAGATCATAGATTATGGTATATCTTTGGAAAAGTTGTCTCCGGAAGCTGATCATATGTCCGAAATTTCTGAGACAGCCTGTCTCAGAAAAAATTGCTTGAAGTAAATGTACCATCTATATCTCAAATCATTCCAGCTAAAGCAAATGATAATAATCTCACAGATCTCAAGGAGGAAGATTTCTGTGGTGGTGAGGTGTTGATCACAAATGTATTGTCTGCATCTCAATCTTATGACCGCACATATTTTCTCAACAAGATATTGGATCAATATTCTAATCTATATAGAAAATTTAGTAGTGAAAATTTCGATTATTATGGGATCACTGATGATATATCATGCCCATTATGCAAACTAGATCATGATGTTGAAGAAAGTATAGAAGGTAGATATAAAACTGTATCCTATTTTATTAAATGTGAATAGCGCAAAATTGAAATAGTTGCATAGTCTGGTCAATTTGACCAGAAGCACTTTGCATAATCCTATATTTGTTCACGCTTCATTGTGATATTTTTAGAGGGCTAATTTATGTCAACTATTGCCTACTGTAATTTAAACTGATTTGCAATTATATAAAAAGGCAATATGAGCAAGTCTGATAAAATATTAACCCCTTTGTATCTGGATTGGCATGCCAAATTAACTGGTTTACCAAGAGTTTTGACAGATAAGATCTGTTTCAATTTATACAAAAAATATAAAAGAGAAACGGAACTTGAGCCATGGCAATTATCAGGAGGTCACCTCATAAATTCGAAGCCAGAAAACAAAGTATCAGATTTATCTTTTTCTGAGCAATGTGAAGAAAAAAGGCCTATCATGTTCGAAGCCAAACCTGATTCAGAGTTAATTATCAAATCCGTATTAGAGCATTTCACATACTTGAAATTCTGAAATAGTTTTAGAGGAATTGATAATTATAGTTTTGCATCACCTCAGCCGTGGAGCTCATTATGCCCTATTTGTAATGGAAAACATGGGAATTCTGGATTACATGGTGAATAGTACCGTGAAAATGCGAATTAGCTCCCTTATGATCCCGAATTAGCGAAGTTGTATTCTCAAGATAAGTTGGAATATTGTCTTACCTGCAACACTTCAAGTAATAAATTCAAGTTCGCAATAGTAGCATAATTCATAAATCCTATCATTATCATATATTGTATTTATTTTTTTCATCGTTCATTAATAAAGTACCAAAGTCAGTTAGAAGTATGACGTGCTATGAATGGTCGTTATTTCATAAAATCGCGTAAAAATAAAAAAATTAGGAGCCCAGCGGACCCCCCTCCCTTTATTATTATAAAAAATTATCTTGCCGGGACGACAACATAATATACAAATAAAAAAATATATCATAGTTACATAGTACGAATACATATAAATAAAAAAAAATTATCTTTCATAAACAAGGATATAGATGTGATTTCCCAGTCTATTAATATCAAAATATTGTGAAACCATATTTTGTGGATCCATATATTTTCTTACATCTCGAGCGGTATCATTTACGTAGAGATCAAAATTGGTAAAAGGAACGTTATTTCTAATTATATTTTTAAGGCTGGCAACTTGCGTATTTGGGGAAACATTAATTGAATAATCACTGCTGACACGCTTATTTTTATACTGTCCATTCGCAAGATCTAAAAAACTTGCCAGAAAAAAAGTTATATGATTAGTAATTGGGTTAAGGTAACTCAATCTA